CATGACAGACAATGTCACCACCGATGATAACACAGGATACGTTGATCATTCTGGCAACAACCAACACAGTCCCATACCTGAATGCATTTCCATGACAGACAATGTCACCACAGATGATAACACAGGATATGTTGATCATTCTGGCAACAAGCAACAAAGTCCCATACCTGAATGCATTTCCATGACGAACAATGTCAACACCGATGATAACAAAGGATACGTTGATCATTTGGGCAACAACCAACAAAGTCCCATACCTGAATGCATTTTCATGACAGACAATGTCACCACCGATGATAACATAGGATATGTTGATCATTCTGGCAACAACCAACAAAGTCCCATACCTGAATGCACTTTCATGACGAACAATGTCAACACCGATGATAACAAAGGATATGTTGATCATTCTGGCAACAACCAACAAAGTCCCATACCTGATTCCCCTTTTATGAAGGACAATGTCACTACCAATTCTTCAACCAAGAAACAAGAAGCTGACCAGATAATGGAGCTTCAGGACCACCCAGTACCAGATCCTGACCAGAAAAAGCAGAAAAGAGGGTATCAGCCTGCTGTACCAGATGCTCAACTAGAAGACCACCACATGCGACCACTGAATCATGAAGATGAAACTAATGATGGATCAGGAAGCTCTTCTCAAGGCAGCAGTAATGAGCAAAGTAAGTCTTCTGCAATAATACAATTTTGAATTTAATAATGTACCTTGAATGTTTTGAATACTTTTCATGTTTTATTCTTGWTAACATCTGTYATTATATAAATTGGTATTCTTAGAAAAACAAATGCCTAAACAGCATTCCATTGAAGAACTCAAGAATGGAGTCCAAAAAAAGTTTCAAATTGTCAAGCAAGACTTGACTTGGAAAAACAAACTTGGAGAGGTAAACTATACAATATACTTTTCCAAAAAATTTCATAAAATATTTATAGATGATGATATATTKTTAGGGCCAGTTTGGAATTGTATATGAAGGAATCTTGTCTAAAGTACGACTKGGAACCGTCATGCCCAAGGTGAGTAAGCACATCAGCTGTTATTTTTTTAACAAATAGATTCCATTTTTCCATGCAACTGAAAAGAATGTCACAAGACAAAATTAATTTCCGACCTCATCATATCTTTACATTATTCTATTACCACAACCTAACATCTATTTCACCACGACCTGCTCCCAGTCTGACCTTGTAGATCACCTGGTAGAGGATCAGTAGTACAAATCCGAAGGTCGTGGGTTTGAATTCCAGCGAGAATCCCAGGTCGGAAATTAATTTTTCCAAATTTATTCCTAAGGGTCTTTCTCCCGGAATTGCCTCCTTTTAAGCACTATAAACCTTTCTTTCATATCTATATCGTGTCTGATTAACTGGTTGACTTAGACGACAAAATTTACTTTTTTTCCCTCAGATAAAAAGGGTTGCTATAAAAGAACTGCGCAAAACAGCAGACGATAAAAGCCAAGAAGACTTCATCAAGGAGGCCATCAATATGTCAAAGTTAGCAGTTCAAATCAGCAACAAGCACATCATAAAATTTATTGGCATTTGTTTAGGTAAAGGAATGYRGTCATGAGCCAGACCCCTTAAACCCTCTTCCCCTAGGTATTTCTTATTAAAGAGCATGCATTWTCTGAAACTTCAAAGTTTTTAGTGCAACACTCCATGGCCTCAATGAGGCCATTTTTAAAGTTTTGATATCCTGAATAGAAGTATATATAAAGTATTACAGGGCTTTCCCTGCTAATGATAACTGATTGAAATAATATATTTGCAACCCCTTTTTGAAAATTATGACAATTTTAGATATATATATATATATATATACAGAATACCTCTTAAATACCTAAAACAATATGAGATGGCCATCAATTTTCAACATGTATGCATTTTATATCATCTAACATTCTTATAATTTTAGAAAGACGCCATGTAGATTATAGAAAAGACGTATAATTTTTTTTCAACAGATGAAAATGAAGATAGATCTAAAGCTATGATCATAACGGAATTGGCTCCATTTGGAAATTTGGAAAACTATCTCAATAAAGTCAAAGAAGTAAGTGAATCTCAATATCTTGTTACTTTATTGACTGGTATACAACTGGGAAATTTTCATCTTTCAGAAAGGAGATACCTTCAAACTGTCTGTTTTAGTTGATTTTTGTGTGCAGATCTGCAATGGCATGACAGTTTTGGTAAGCAATCAACTTAAAGTAAAACATGTGTGGTTTGTTAATACACTTTTGGGGACCAAGTTCAATGGAAAAGTTGTGATGATAAGTTGTAGATATAGCTTACAACCAACAACCAATAATCACAAACAATGTTCAACTCAGAAGATGACCCAAACAAGAACCAAGCAGACGGAGTTGAATCAGTTATTTGAAATAATAATATAACAATTCACTGTATTTATTATTATTCTTTTGTTCAGGAAAATAATGAWGTTTTGCACAGAGATATTGCTTTAAGAAACATCCTTGTTGCATCAGAAGATCCATATCTGATTAAGATTAGTGACTTTGGACTTGCACGACTCAGTGAATATTACAAGTGTGAACGAGGCAGATTTCCTTTGAGATGGTAGGAACACAAATACAGCATTTGAAAGTCACTTGAAATAGCTCATATACTAACAACACCAGACTCCTTTTGCTTGTTTTCTTTTGTTTTTGGTTGTTCATTGTTTTATTACATGCAAATGAGAGTTAAAAAAAGTGTTATGATTTGAAGGCTCACTCTTGCAAATATTCTACAGTCCAGTAAGGATGGCACATTTTGCACCCTTTTGAGAGAAAAAGTGCTAGTAGTTACTTTGTTGAAACACTGAATATTATTTTAAGTTTTTTTTTTCTTTTTGTAAGGTATGCACCAGAGAGTATTACTCACCACAGGTTTACCTCTAAAAGTGATGTGTGGAGTTTTGGTGTAGCTATGTGGGAAGTGTTTTCCTATGGAGCTCAGCCGTACCCAGAAATAAAAGATATTCAAAAGGTGTGTTCAATCTAGGAAATTTTGTTGTTTTCTTTCCATTTTACCAATTATGCACTCCGGTATTTTTAGATCATCTATCACATAAACGAAGGCAACAGACTCCCTAAACCTGWCAACTGCCCAGAAGATATTTATAATATCATGAAGCAATGTTGGGATTATGACCCTAAATCAAGACCCTCATTTTATGAGCTATCAAGCATCTTGTTGGATGATATCAAAAAAAAAAAGTACTGCGAATATGAACAGTAATTAAAAATCAAAACTCTTTTAATGTATTTGTTAAATCTGCCCTCCAAGTGTGCACGTTCTCACACAGGTATACCAAGTTTTGTATTAGTGGCCACTTTTAGTGGTTTTTATTTTAGCTAATGTGAAATATTCAAGGGTAGTCTTTGTGAAAATTATGTTAAATGTCATTTAGAAAGTGATTAGTTTTTGAGTGTTGTCTTYATCAAGTACAGTGAAATATTAAAGGGTTGTGTGTTGGCCATGAGTGAAAAATGGTGTACTTTATTGACCATCACAAGTGAGAGTGAATTATAGTGAATTGAAAGAGCTGGCAGCAAACAGAAATGTGAATATTTTCCAATGGTTAGCACTGATGAAACATTCAAGACTTTCAATGGCCAGGAATTGTCAAATAACATTCACATGACATTTAAATCAATAACAAGTCAAATTTGGTTGAAACCATTTTAATTTTCCATAAGATATTAAATATTATTTCACAAATTCAAATATATAAACTCATTTGCATTTATGTTTATTCTGTAAAACTTAACTGCATAATTTATATCAATTTAATTATATGCCTCTTGAATCAAACTTGTATTTTGTTGTTTTTAATTTGAAATACTCATTAATTAATAATATTGTATTAATAAATTATTATTTAACTCTGAAATCACAATATTATTGATATTGACCAAAAACCAACACTGACTCACTGGACAGTCAAATATTTTGTGGAACAAAGTATAAATTAAGCTTTTTGCAGTAACCATGATAAAGCTCTTTGACAGCCAACTGTATAGTGCCTCTTTGAAAGTCTTTGTAGAAATGTTGCCATGACAACTCAATGGTAACACTAATCACCATGACAACCTTCTGTAACATCCAGCAGGAACAATTGCAATTTCTTAATAGTAGTAACCATGGCAATYCCTCATAACAGTAACCATGACTACAGCCTGCTGTCATCATTTTACCATCTATGACTACCGTTCGGCCATAAAAACTGATTGACACCACTTAACAACCCAGTCACACATCAARTCTATGACTTCATCATTGGGTTTTCCRTTAATGTTCAGGGAGTGATCAGCATTATCAACCCAATGCATTGTCCAGTTAACTCCCATCTTTTCCAGCACATTTTCCATCAAGTCCCTACGACAAAATGTGTCCTTCGTACCACTGACAAAAAGCACAGGGACTCCGAGATGAATGATTGACGACATGCGTAGTTCATGGGTCCTTCTTTGTGGGTGAAGAGGATATGAAAGACATGCAACACCAAAGATAAACTGATTTGTAAGACTGCTTATAGTTGCTAACTCTGCTGCAACTCTTGCTCCCATTGAACGTCCTGAAACATTAAATGACAACTTTGAATCCTGCTGATCAATGGTTWCCACTACACTGTCTCAAAAACTCTGAATTATAGTCCGTCCTTACTGGCAAAATCTATCAAACAAGTGTTGTATTTGTAGGCCAGTGATACTCTCACGGCTGGAAATTGAGCCTAGTTTTGCACGTGTGGAACAACAACATACAGAATGGTAAACTCTACTGACCTGCAATAATACACTTTTGTATGCTAAAGTCACTGTACTCGTGTAAAAACATCTGTAAGAGAGTGAATTATATTAGTTCATAATTATCATTATTAATAAACTATTTAATGGTAAAATTAGAAATAAACACTAGAGGGTTAAAAAAAGAGAAAAAAKTACTTGAAAGTACTTTATGTTTATCAATTCTAACAAGATTGTTGACAACTAGTTTGGTTGTCAACAACTGTATTTTCTGTGTAACATGATACTCAATTAATATTAGGAGTGCTAAAAAATGATTTTGAAATATATTGCTAACTATTGTATTGCAGAGTGAAACAATTCCGCAACTTAAACCTGAGAGGTGTGTATAGAAACCTGATTTAAAATATTTTGTTGCGGGCAATCTAGTCTACAACTACAACACAGCTAGGTTCGTGTTGCTATGGCTGCCTTACCACAGCTCTCTCAAAGCATCGAACTCTGTATTTAAAATTTGGTGTCCTACAAGTAAACCTCAAGCACAGAATTCCTGTCTGAGCCAAGCGGGAAGCAATTTTCTCCAAATGATGGAAATTCATATCTCCTCCTGCRCCATGTGTAAGCACAACAGCAGTTCCGGACCACGAGCTACGACAAGGTGCGTTTATAACTCCATCAATTTCACGATCTTCGACAGGAATTGTTACATTAACCTAGAAAGAAAGTTACAGCAATTAATACAAGCTAATGGAGATTGTTTAGCGAGCTTGCTTACTTTACGAAGCGCCATTATTTTCCGGTCATTCCAGTGTAGTGTGGTGGTAGACTGCTAGTTGTGCATGTGTAATTAGATCGGTTGCGTCGACCAATCAAATTKCTCGAACGTTTGTCACACGGAAAGGCTCCGTTGATCAAGTGAAAAGTAATCTTTTCATGTTGGATTAGAAGTATCTTGATATATTTTGGAAAAGTTTACTGTATTTTCAGAGTGAAAAGATATTATTATAATATAATATTATAATATTATAATTCATACCCCCTCAGCAACCCAAATCAAATACCCTATCTTATAGCAGTTTCCATGTCAACTTCCGAAAAAAAGCCTTCCCATACCAGGGCTAGTTTTTTTTCTGTTAAATTCTTTTATGTAATTTCGTGAATTTCTCCTATCAATTCAAATGTTGTTTATTTTCTTTTTTATTGCGATTTTTCTATAACTTCCCCGAGGTGTCGCCACTATAGACCCCCGGGCACTAGACACGGGCTCAAAATGGATATGACGGGCATTCGAGAGCATGGAGGAAGTCAAGTTCGATGCTGACACGTTGCTGTTTCTTGCTTGACCCGGTCGTGCAAGTCGGTCTGGAGTATCATAAAATTTATCCTCCAAATGATGCATTGGTTGCATGTTCCAGTTTTTGTAGCGTAAGTTTTTCATCAATTCATGTTTGTTTATTTCTAGTCCAATAGAAAAAGTWAATTTAAATAGAGGGAGTACAATTAAATTTGTAACCTGTCATCAAACAAAATTCTAAAATCTAGTAGTAGTCGAATAGACTTCCGCTATCTGATATTTAATTCATGTGGTTTGAATGTGGCTTCATGACATGAAAATGGCGGCCCAGATCATTTTGTACACGATTGGAGATTGATAAATATTATTGTTACGAGAGACGCGACAGATCTTCTTTGAGTCTCTCGTCCAAATAATTTTCTTGACAACATTTATCAACCTCGTTCGAAGAGATGAAGGTCCTGGGAACGAGGTTGAACATTTAAACGTTACCGCAACACCCAGTTTGTTTTGTTTTGTTTTGTTTTTCTTTTTTTGCTCATCAGTGTTGTTATTGATATGCATTTTGATGTAAATATCATTTAAGATCATAAAACTTTATTAGAGTACGCGGCCATGTTTATATCAAATGTATAGGGACTCTTTAGTTCCCAATTTACAATGAACAGCAATATTGGTTCCCTGCTAGAACAAATATATTGAAAAATCATRGCACGCAAAACTACGTCATGACCACGGAAACTTGCCTGGAATTGACGCCATCAGGAAGCATTGATCATGAAATCGCAACTTCATTCCTCGTCACGAAAGTATGCTGGTATTTTTGGACACTCGCACGACAKCAAATAGTGTCGAGACGATGASATCGCGACGATGAGATCGAAAACAAAGCGGTSTTTCCGGGGACGCTCTATCGGATTGCAAGATTTGATTGGAATATTAAACGAGATTTGCAATGACTTGACGCATGCGCTGTTCTATCTCATGTGATTTCCTTTCTTGGCCATGTGATATAGATCYATGATCACTGGRCCTTGATGCATCTAATGACTTGTGCGTGCATGCAGAAATCAGACATCAGGAGTAGAGTTGGATTCGAAAGTAGATCAAGTTTGCGTGAGAAATGCTGCTCAACGTATTGAACGCGCGAGTCGACCTGTTTGCGAATGATTATAATCCAATTAGAACAACTTTCGTACAATATTTACAACAATGACTTTAATCTATGGCAATACATTCATAAACTATTATGAAACATCGAGGATATTTCTAGTACCTTAGTATCTCAAAGTGYTTTTATGAGCATGGCGTTGCTCAGCTGAAGAAATACAAACTTCATGGTTTTGAATCTGGGCGGAGGCGTATCTTACTGCTTTTCAAATTCCTATCTTAAAGACCTTTAAGAGACCAATTATTTGCTCTCAAACCTTGAACCCAAATAGCACTCATGAAACTGAACACTCATCGCTTGATTAGCTCTTTTACAAACATTCGCTTTCCCATTACTCCAAAGTTTCTTTTCTCCATACAAGGTTGTCATGAACTTCACTTATATCCTTTATAACATGAATATCRTAGTACTTATTTTAAAAGATAAAATTGTACATATCTTTTTTTCAGAATTTCAAGGTTTACGGATTTCAAGTAAATAATTCTACTTTCGCTACTCTGGGTGGATATGAAATCCCCGGCTACAGGGGAACACCCACTCTATCACGATTCGAAAGTTTGTCTTGTACTATTGGTATATAAAAGGGACAAGCCAACACTAAGTCGCTACAAGTTTGTTTCAGGCGGAAATGGCAAGAATTATGCAATGGCTGCTTTTCGGTAAGAATCGAGTGTGATGCTGGGTGAAAACCCTGCCTTGTGGAAGATGTAAAAATAGATGTTTATAGCATAAATAACATAGAAACAATGAAGGTATATTTATGGTAGATTTACATGGTGCGATTGTCGCGTGCKACTTCTTGTAGAATACCGGATTTTCCTACGACAAGTAGGATTTTGACTCGTGGCTTAAAATCCTACTATGCATTTACGACGCGCGATTTGGAGCTCTTTTGAGTCGTATTCTACAAGACGCACGCGACAATCGTACCGTATAGGTGGAGCTCTCATCAAAAGTGAGAGCAAAGTCTTGCAATATTTGTATTTTCTTAGCTTCAGATATTGTTTTTTATCGATCGAGCCGTGTAGAACAATACACGTGCAAATGACAATGGATGTTGATGATACAGGAGCCAATAGCGATGATGTTTACTGTGAATAGCCCTAACCCAGTAAAGCCCAAATTTATGACATTGAAACTGAGGTTTTTAGCCAGCTTCATTCTAAAGGTCTAAGATAATAACACTTGTATTTGCTCACGCCTTTTTGTCAATAAACAGGAATCAACTGCTTCAATGTTGTGCTTCCAACAMGAAGCAAAACGTTTACGCAGACCTGTACCTCTAGTCCCAACACATGTTGTATGGCAAATGGAACAGGGGTTTTCTACAATCCAACTCGCTCTATCTGTTGTGAMGGRARGCTAAACCGAAGAGACGGTCCTAACAAACTATACTGCTGTGGAMAAGCCTTGTACTCGCCAGCTTCWAKCATCTGTTGTAACAATGTCTTGAGTAACATCACGGACTATCTCAGACCAAGATGCTGCAGGAGTGTTGGGTATGATGCAGACAAGTTCTTGTGTTGTCATGGGATAGTCACGAAAAAGAYGTTTGACAATCCTGGATGTTGTGCTGGAAAAGAATTTGACAAGACCAGACAGACTTGCTGTCAGGGGAAAGTCCAGTCGTCCACTGAAGGTATGTTTGATGYATTAGTTTGGTTTGCCAAAATGTTAGTTTCCACAAATAGTCGTCAGTGTAATCAATTATCGTCTCATGAACCAGAGTCATTTAAGTGCTCATATCCATATTAGGAAGAACATCTTGTTGTGGCTCCCAGTCGTTCAACCCGAATAAGGACACCTGCTGCAAGAGGGCTGTATACGTGAACACCATCACCAAGACTTGTTGTGGCAATAAGCCATTTGATCCTTCGGTAGCAACTTGCTGCAACAACCAGCTGACTAGCAAACCAGGTYTATCTTGCTGTGGTAAAAAGGCCTACAACAAAACCACACACGTATGCTGTGGTAACACAGTAAAGAAATTCACAAACAAGAATGATACTCAGTGCTGCTGCAATAAAGAGGGGTGTACTTTCTATGATCAAAACAAGAAAATTTGCTGTGATGGGAATATTATATCGAGACTTGGCCATCTTGCTTGCTGTGGAAGAGACATATATAATGTCAAATTGCAGGTAATGAAATTCTCGTCTCAAACGGACATGATTGTTGGTGATGACAAATAAATGTTTTTTGAATATTTTTTGTGTATGGGTGACATCTTTTTGTTGATGGACATTATAGGTTTGTTGTGGATCTATTCCAATCAGTACCAGCACAAACTGGCGTTGTTGTGGCGGGAAACCCTACAACGAAGATCTTCAAATATGTTGC